CCAAATTAAATTAAAATTAACACTTATTAGTGGCCAAAATCTGTCTTATCTTAACAGGTACTAGCCATGGCCACTCGCTCTTATTTTCTTAGAGAGTAGGTACGAATAATTTGCCAAAATCAGTCTTATCTTGGTAAGTACCTGATAAGGTTAGACTGTTTTTTGGCATGTGATATATTTCAAGAAAATAGGGGGCGGGTGGGCGGGGCTAGCATTTTATAAGGTATGACTGATTTTGACACTTGACATTTTCTTGTAGATTTCAACATCACTTTGGACTCCGTTTCTTTGAAAATTTCTATCACTTTTCCAAAATCGCCAGTTGAAATATAGCAATTTTCACAAATCCAGTAGCAAACAATTCATCAAAAAAATTACGATTGGCGTTTTTTTTCTTACTTTTATCACATCCTAGATTCTATTAGTTTCCACTCCCACTCCATAGAAGAAAATAATTACCCCGCCCACCCACCCACCCTTCATTTTAGTGATTAATTTATCCGGTCTGAATTAAATAAGTGATCTTATACTGAACAGAATTAAAATTAGTCTTACAAAAATTCTATACCCAGCGATTTTGACGTAACTGTAAAAATTAGTACATATCTGCTAAAATAAGATCGATTTTGGCAAATGAAATACCCTCTAAAAGAAATAGAGCGGGTGGGTGGGGCTAGTTATAAGACTGATCTTGGCAAATCACATATCTTCCAAGAAAAGAGAGGGTGGGTGGGCGGGGCTAGTACCTGCTAAGATAAGACGGATTTTGAGAAATGAGATACCCTCTAAAAAAGAGAGGGCGGGTGGGCGTAGCTAGTACCTGCCAAGACTGATTTTGGCAAATCACATATTTTCCAAGAAAACAGAGGGTGGGTGGGCGGGGCTAGTGATAAGACTGATTTTGGCAAATCACATATCTTCCAAGAAAAGAGATGGTGGGTGGGCGGGGATAGTACCTGCTAAGATAAGACTGATTTTAGCATATGACGTATCCTCTAAGAAATTCAATTAAATAATTATAAGAAAATACACTTGAGACTCCAAAGCACTTTCAAATTCTTTCAAACAGAAATACCCAGAACCTCAAGAATGTTTTAAATTAAAAAAAAAAAGTCCCAAAAATAACTCAAAAACAGGACAGGTCAGAATTTGCCAATAACGTATAGAGTATCTAAAGGGTTATCTCAAACATCACCAATGTTAAATTCATATTCTTGGATGGTGCAATATCTACAAAAATTCTGTACCCAGCGATTTTGACGCAACTGTAAAAATTAGTACCTGCTAAATTAAGATCGATTTTGGCAAATGAAATACCCTCTAAAAAAAGAGGGCGGGTGGGCGGGGCTAGGATAAGACTGATTGGGGCTAGTACTTGCAAAGATAACTGATTTTGGCAAATCACATATCTTCCAAGAAAAGAGAGGGTGGGTGGGCGGGGCTAGTACCTGGTAAGATAAGACTGATTTTGGCAAATCACATATCTTCCAAGAAAAGAGAGGGTGGGTGGGCGGGGCTAGTACCTGCTAAGATAAAAGTGATTTTGGCAAATCATATATTTTCCAAGAAAAGAGAAGGTGGATGGGTGGGGCTAGTACCTGCTAAGTAGAGATGTACAGACTACAGTCGGCCGACTATTTATAAATGCAACAGACAGTGGTTTTTTTTTTCTATTTCTCTGACTACCTTAAAAACTTGTTTTATTTCAATAAAAGCAATAACTGAAGTTTCTTTTTTTTCCAAAAAATGTGTTAAATTTTTTTGGATAATTTTAACATTTAATTTTTTGTAGTAACTCAGTGCAAAAATAAAGAATAACACAATTTAGGGCAGTTTAAACAATACTTAACCAATTTTAACCACTTTTTTGGAAAATCTTTGGAAATTTTGAATTCGCTTTGCGTGTTTATTGGACCATATATCGTGACGGCGATTTCAGAATCGTAACTAGCGGAAGATTATCTACACTTTGACACCAATTTTCGGTCGATTAAACTAATTTTAACCGGTTTTGACAAAGTCGACTAGTCGGCCGACTGTAGTCGGCACATCCCTACTGCTAAGATAAGGCGTGGTTTTGGCAAATCACATATCTTCCAAGAAAAGAGAGGGCGAGTGGGTGGGGCTAGTACCTGCTATGATAAGGCTGATTTTGGCAAATGATGTGATAGTTTTTAGAATCCTTACTAGACATATTTTGTCCCTCTTTTATTAAAATTTGATTTAAAAGGCTATTTTTTCTGAAAAAAAAAATGGAAACATGCGAAAATTTATTTTTGTAATTCCCTGTTTAAATTTTCTTTTGTCATTTTTTTAATAAATCCGTACACAATAAATAACTTCACCAATATAATTCATGAAATTATCCTTTACATTTTGATAATGTGAAATATGAAAATGATTGCGTTAACCTAATTGAAAGAATTTACTTACTTGCACAATCAGTAAAAATATGAATGGAACAGCAGCAATTTATTACTTCGATTTTTTTGATTTTGCACATTTTCGATTTTGCAATTTTTCATTTCTTCAATTTCTCGGTTTTCAGTGTTACAATTTTTCTTTTTCAAGGTGAAAATTGTCAGTTTTAGGATTTTTTTTCTAACGATTTGGATTTGCAATTTTTCAACGTTTAGATTTTTTAATTTTTCATTTTTTCAATTTTAGATTTTTCAGGTACTTGAGTTTTCAATGTTTCGTTTCTTCAATTTTTGATTTGTAATTTTTCTAGTTTTCATTTTAAATACAATGTATCTAATAATAATTATATTTTTTTTAAATTTTCACTTTGTCAATTTTACGATTTTAGAATTTTTCCATTTTCAATTTTTCACCGTGTCTATATTTGATTTTTCAGTTTTTCGATATTTCAGTATTGCAGTTTTTCGTCTTTACAATTTTATTTCTCGATTTTGCAATTTTTCGGTTTTTTAGTTTTGTCAATTTTTTCAGATTTTTTAGTTTTTAGATTTTTTAATTGGTCAATTTTTCAACTTTTCGAATAAAAAATGGAACAATTTTAAAATGAAAAATGAAAACGCGAAAAAATATAAAATGAAAACTGAAAAATCTAAAAACTAGAAATGAAAAATTGAAAAATCGAAAGATTAAAAGTTGGGAAACCTTCGAAAAGATGCAAAACCGAAAAAAAGAAATATAGAATCAAAATATTCACAATTAAAGAAATCAGATTTTCGAGAAATCCAAAAATTGCAAAATTGAATCACTTAAAAGTTGGAAAATCGAGGATCGAAAATTTGAAGAACTGATAAACGAAAAACTATAAAAACGAAGGAAGAAAAAAATAGATAAAAATAACATTGTGCTATTAAACATATAAGAAACTAAAAGTTTTATTACTATTAATTTTAAAACCATTATAACCCCACCAAAATGTGAGAAGGAATTTTTTTACTACACTGCGTTTCAAATAAAATGCACCACCTAGAAGGAGTAGGCGTAGAATGCTGAAATTTGGTGGAGAAGACTATTGCATATAGACAAACATTTGATTAAAATTTCAAAGAAAAAATAAAATGTCTAACACAAGAAATGTTAATAATGTGTTAAAATTACAAGTGCGCGAATACAAGACTGTATTCTTCTAGGCATGGTTAAAATGAGATGATCTATTGCCTGTCGGGGTATCTCATTCCAGGCATTTTGAATTTGTTGTAGCAATTCTTCCAAAGTCTTTGGAGGATGTGGTAAATTGCGCAGCCTTCTATGCATTACATCCTAAACATGTTCGATTGTTGATAAATCTGGTAATCGGGCAGGCCAGGGTAAGAAGTTGACGTTATTTTCTTTAAACACTCTTTAAGTTAATATGGCCACATGAGGCCACGCATTATCTTGTTGAAAAGATGTTCTTCGACGGTTCTAAAAGTAAGGAAAAAGAATTTGATTTAACACGTTATCGATGTAACGCCGGGCATTTAGCGTGCCTGGAATGAACACTAAGGGGGTACTTCAACAGATGTGTATACCACCCCATATCATTACTCCAGGTGTTAGAGCGATATGACGTCTCTGTACAAATTCCAGATTTTACTTTTGGCCTCGAGGCCTTCGAACACGTATGCGTCCATCAGAGTGCCACAAACAAAACCTAGACTCGTTTCTAAACATTATGACATTCCACTATTACAGCCATTGCTGCATGTCTTAGTACCGGCGAAGCCTGGTAGTTTTGTGTTCTTGTGGTAAGGGAAGTTTACAGTTTGGACCATAAGATCTCAAGCCAAAGGAACGAATTTGTTAGTAGATGGTACTCCTCGGATTCGGTGCCCAATTGCTGTCATCCAGTCTACCCAGACTGATCGTTACGGTTACCAAGGGTATTGAATAACACTTCTTCTTAGCAAATGATCTTCGCGTGCTTGGGTTACTCTGAAACGGTCGGTACCCCTGCGACGCATTTGTAGCTCTTCGTTGTTCCATTCTCGACTTGTTCTTAATATCGTAGAATGCGTTGGGCCTAGTATTCTGGTGTTTTCCCGAAATGGTAAACCAGCCTCATGCAACCCAATAATTCGGCCTCTTTCAATAGGTGTTATCTGTTGAAAATTACCTCGTGTGCAAACTCGTAGCATTTTTGCAAGCACAATAATGACAAATGTCAAGTCAAATTGCAAAAGAATCTTACTCAAGTGTCTTTAAAATATAATCAAAAAATTAATAAAAATCGAATAACACCCGGTATATTATCTAAACAAGTTGTAGTCTTTAGTTCAAATTTTAATCAAATGTTTGTCTATATGTAATAGTCTTCTCCACCAAATTTCAACATTCTACACCTACTCCTTCTAGATGGTGCATTTTATTTGAAACGCAGTGTATTTCTCTCAGACCCACCAGTGTATTGTTAACCGCTTAGAGGAGACAAGAGGAGCTACTCTGAACCGAAAATCCAGAAAGCGTAGTTCGAGTTTTATTTTTCGCAAGTTTTTCCGTCACCAAATCGAAACCAAGATCCCGACCAAACCCCCCACCTTTACCTTATCGTTGCTCGGGCTGTTGCTCTGGCTCGCCGCCTGCACGTGCTCCATCCCCTTGCAGCCGTCTCCGGCCACCCCCAGCACGTTCTCCGAGTCGATATTTCTCAGCGGCGTCCCCAGCGACTTGTCCCAGGCGTTCGAAAGCGGCGCGACCACACTCGACGGATCTTTCATACCGTAAACGTTTATATTTTGATTCACTTTGTTCATATCGTTCACATCACACATACTCTGCTGCTGCATCTGCGCTTTTTGCAGTCTATTGTTCTCGCGCTGCTTAGCGAACCTCGGAGCCAGTTTGCTCTGTCGCGGCCTTTCGAACTGATTCTTGTTCGTCTGCGGCAGGACCGGCGGCGGATTCACGGGCGTTGCCATCAGAGGCGGAATGTTCGAGATCTGCTGTTGCGTCAGCTGGGCAGTGGAAGCGTTAGTTTTGGGCTTGCGATCCGGCTTCCCTATATCCTTCTCGGACTTCGGGAGCACCTTGCTGGGTTTCTCGTCCGTGGGCTTCTGACGCTCTTTAACCGTCTTTTTACTCTTCACCTCCTGGAAGCCGTCCGAGTCGCCCTGCTGAGAGACCTTCTCGTCGCCGTCCTCCGGTTCCGTGTCCGTCTTATTTTTTAAAGATATGTCGGCGATGGCGTTACACAGACTGTTCTGGTCGACGGACTTGTCGTCTTTTTTTATTGCACGCAAAGCCCCGCTGGAGTTTTGTCTAGGAATGGGGTTGTCGCTCCTCGGAGGGTAGGGTTTCTTGTCGCCTGTCATCCGCGGGGGTGCGTTGTTACGTCTAGTCGAGTTCGAACTCGACGCACCCCGAGGTGGCGCGTTCGTCTTTAACTGCTGCCTCCTGGAGCTCTTATCCTTATCGTCGGAGTTGTCTGAGTTCGAATCCGCGTTTTCGTCGTCGCGTTTTCCGTCGGTCTTCGACTTCGACTTACCCCGTCTACTATCAGGCTTGCGCCCTTTGGGTTTATCGTCGCCCTTGGGTAGAGTGTCTTTTCGGGCGCTACCGATAATCCCCGCCGACAAAGCTTGTTGGTTCTGCTTAGCTTTATCCTCCGACGTTTCGGTCGTATTTTCGTCACTCGACATCTTCTTTTCCTTATCGTCGTGGTGACCAAACGGACTTTTCGCAGGTGGTGGACCATACCCATCAATCCTCTTACTCAGTCCACCCCTGCTTCTAAAGTTGCCACCCCCACGACCGTGCCTCGACGGCTCCCCCCTCGGAACGTAATTATCCCTCTTACTGTCCTGCTTATCCTTGTTCCTTTCCAAAGTCGACGACTTTTCGTGCTGCTTAATCTCCTTGTTCTTGTCGTCTTTATCGGACTTTTTCACCGTTTTCGGACTCTTCTGGGACGTCCCATCTGCCCCGACTTCGTCCATCGAGCCTTCGGAATCCGTCCCGTGAAAGTCGGTTTTTTGCGAACCCCCAGACCTCATACCCCGACTGGACTGTCTTTTGGGCCAGCCCGACCGGTGGTACTCATTGCCACCCCAACCCTTGTTCAAGGGGTAGTTCCTGTTCTTGTTGCCACGTTTGTCGTCCTTGTCTTTGAATTCCGAGTCCGACTTGTCCGACTTTTTCGAGTCGTCTTGCTTCGACGACGATTCTGTGTTTAAGGAGTTTTTGCATTTGTCGAAACCGTCAGAAAATTTATTTTCCATGTCGAGAGGGGTGGGTGGGAGGGCATCCGCCCAAGCCTTGCTCCCGGAGTCAGTCTGCTCCGGAACCGTACTTTCGTCACCCGCGGTCTCCTCCTGGATTTTTTCGTCCTTCTTTTCGACCTTCTTCTCCGGGATTTGGCCCCGTTTCAACTGAGTCAAGCCGCGCTTTTCGTTCCTCATGTCGTCGGCTTCTATCCGTTCCTTCGTGATCGGACCCGGGACTTGTCTGCGATCTTCCCGTCCGTGGTCCCGGCGCTTCTCCTCGTAGGGCGGGTCGAACATAGCGTCCGCCCACGAGCCGATGTGATCCCTAGGTTCGGAATCCCGTGCCGAATCTCTCGATTGTCGCGAATCTCGCGACGCCCTCGAGTCCCTACTGTCCGGTCTCTGCGGCCTCTCGTGCCTCTCCTTATCCCTCCTGTCGCTGTGCCAATCCTCGTGGTCCTTCCTCTTATCCTCGTCCTTGTTCTTCCTGTTGTAGTCGTACTCCTGGTGTCTGTAGTCGTGCGAGTCGTCGAACCCTCTTTCTTGCCCCTTGTGCGACCTGTGACTATCCTCCGAGCTCTGTCTCTTGTAGTCGCGTCGCTCCTCCTCGCCGTCCCTATCCGGACTGTCGTGCCGCTTCGCCACGCCCTGACCCCAGCGACCGTCCCCGAAGCCGTAATGCATCTGACTCTGCATCCCCGGGCCCGTGTTGTTCCTCTGCTTCTGGAACCGCGGCGGCAGCTGGCTCTGGAAGTGTCGCGAGAAGCTCGGGCCGTTCTGGTCGCGCACGTCGCGCTCCCGATCGCCCCCTTTCACGTGCTTCCTCGGCGTGAAGTTCTTGCCTTCGATCTGGGTGAGTTGTCGAAAGGCGCTCGACGAGCCAGAGGTTTTCTCCTCGGCGCCGCTGCTGTCGTTGGGCGTGCGCGAGCGGCTGTCTCTGTCGCGCTCTTTCTCGCGCTGGAAATCCGGGAGCGGGATGTCGGCGGGCACGATGGGCTTCGGCGGCACCACCGACGGGCTTATGGTACCCACGCCCTCCTCTTCGCGGTTGCGCTTGCTCATTTTTTCCTCCAGCTCCATGAGCTTCTTGGCGGCGCCTTGTTTGGTCGCCTCGTTGAAGCGCTTCTCTTCCTCTTCTTTGCGTTGTTTGGCTCGTTGAACGGTCAGCTCGAGGTCCTTGTTGTGTTGGCGGCGTTGCTTCCAGAGCTCCTCGTCCGAAGATCGCTGGCGGTTGGGGTTGGTCAGGTTGCTGTTCCAGTTGCGCGATTGAGATTCGTTCGGGTGAGGTTCGGGTTTGTCGTGGTCTTTCGGTTGAGGCGCGGCGGCGGGAGCGGGCGCGGTCGTCGTCGAGGCGGCGGCGGGTTTTGCTTCTTTCTTTGTAGGTTTGTCCGTGGTCGATTCGTCGTCGCTGAACGCCAGTTTTTGGCTGCGAACAAAAAGGATTTATAAATATCGTGATTTAAAAAAAAAATGTACAAAAAATCATCTCTGATGTTAAATTATCTAGTTCTTAGGTCTGAGAAAACAGTGGGAAAAAAATTGGTCGAAAGTTACTTTTTACGTTTTCGTTTTCTGACAACCTCTATAAAATAAACACCAGTGGCGTAAATAATACTTGGGCAGCTTTTTTTATTTCAATTTTTCATTTCTCAATTTTTTTATTCTTTCCTTTTTCATTTCTTCAAATTTTCGATTTTTGTTTCGGTTCTTTATCTGCTTCTTCTTACATTTTTGTTTATTTCAATTTCTGGTTTCTTCAATTTTTCAAAATCTTCGAGTTTTCATTTTTTGGATTTTCCAACTTTGGGATGTTTTAATTTTTAGATTTTGCAATTTCTAGTTTGCACTTTCACGAGTTTCTAATTTTTCTTTCGGGTTTTCAAAATTCTGATTTTATAATATTTTTTTCCAATTGTAAATTTTTCCATGTTTTTCAATTATTGGATTTTGAAACTTTTTCATATATGAATTATTTTTTTTTTAATTTTTCAACTTTTCATTTTTTTTGTTTCTTCAATTTTACGAAATGCAACTCAGCAAGTTTCCACATTCAAATTTTTAATTTTTCAATTTTTCGATTGGTAATTTTTCATTTTGGTTTTTTATTACCTTTATTTTTTCAATTTTTCGGTTCTTGAATGTTCTGATTTCACGATTTTCTTTTAAATATAAAATTTTTTAATTTTTAGATTTGGAATTTTTCAGTTTCATGGTTTTTCAATTTTTCGCTTCTTCAATTTTTCTAATTTTCATTTTAAACATTCACAAACATTTTTTAAATTTTCACTTTTCAATTTTACGATTTTTCCAATTTTCCGGTTTGCAATTCTTAATTTTTTTTTGTTTCTTCAATTTTACGACGTGCAATTCAGCAAGTTTCAAATTTTTCAGCTTTTCGATTTTCCAATTTTTGGATGCTTCAATTTTTGGATTTTGCAATTTTTCGTTTCGGTTTTTCAATTTCTTTATTTTTTCAATTTTTCAGTTCTTCAATATTCTGATTTTTCAACTTTTTTTCGATGTAAAATTTTTCAATTTTTAGATTTGCAATTTTTCGTTTTCAAATTTTTCAATTTTTCGATTCCCCACTTTCGGATGTTTTAATTTTTAGATTTCACAATGTTTCGTGTCTACAATTTTTTGTTTAGCAATTTTTCGTTTGGGTTTTTTATTCGCTTTATTTTTCAATTTTTTGGTTCTTCAATATTTTGATTTTATAATTTTCTTTCAATGTGAAATTTTTCAATTTTTGGATTATTCAAGTTTTAAATTTTTCTTTTTTTTTCAATTTTAGATTTGTCAGTTTCTCGATTTTTCGTTTCTTCAATTTTTGATTTGTATTTTTTCTAATTTTCATTTTAAATATATTATAATCATAATTTTAAAAATTTTCACTTTTTCGATTTTTCAACTTTACAGTTTTGACAATATATATATTAAGTAAGTTTTTTAAGTATGTAAGTAAGTTTTTTTTTCATAATTTTTCGATTTAAAATTTTTTTGGAGTTTTTCAATTTTTCAATTAGATTCGTTTTTAGTTTCCTATTTTTTGATTCTTAAATTTTTTTCGATTTTTATGTTTCTCGATTGCTTCAATGTTTCCGTTTCGGTTTTTTATTTTAGTCATTTTTTCAATTTTTCGGTTCTTCAATGTTCTGATTTCACAATTTCCCTTTTAATTTAAAATTTTTGAATTTTGAGACTTGCAATTTTTCAGTTTTCAATTTTTTAACTTCTAGATTTCTTAATTCGTTGTTTTTTCAATTTTAGATTTTTTTAGTTTCATGATTTTTCAATGTTTCGCTTGTCCAATTTTTCTAGTTTTCATTTTAAACATTCAGAAACATTTTTAAAATTTTTCACTTTCTAATTTTACGATTTTTTCCATGTTTCAACTACAATTTTTCGGTTTTTTAATTTTTTTTTTTTTGTTTTAATTTCACGACATGCAATTCAGCAAGTTTTCATTTTCAAATTTTTCAACTTTTCAATTTCCCAATTTTTGGATGCTTCAATTTTTGGATTTTGCAATTTTTCAATTTGCAATTTCACGAGTTTTCAACTGTTAATTTTTCAATTTTTCGATTAGCAATTTTTTCTTTCGGTTTTTCAGTTTCTTTATTTTTTCAATTTTTTGGTTCTTCAATGTTCCGATTTTACAACTATCTTTTCAATGTAAAATTTTTCAATTTCCCCACTTTGGATGTTTCAATTTTTAGATTTCACAATGTTTCATGTCTTCAATTTTTTGTTTGGGTTTTGTATTAGCTTTATTTTTTCATTTTTTGGATCTTCAATGCTTCCATTTTATAATTTTCTTTCAATGTGAAATTTTTCAATTATTATATTTCGACTTTTTCGTTTCTTCGATTTTTGATTTGTATTTTTTCTAATTTCCATTTTAAATGTGTTATAATTATAATTTTAGAAATTTTCACTTTTTGAATTACTCGATTTTCCATACTCGATTTTCCAATTTTTCGATTTCTCCTTATTTAATTTTTCAATTTTTCAATGCAGCAGTTTTTCAACTTTACAATTTGGCAACATATAATTTTTCAACTAATTTTTTTTTGGGTTTTCAATTTTTCAATTCGATCTGTTTTTGTTTCCAATTTTTTTATTCTTAATTTTTTTTTAGACTTTTAAGTTTCTCGATTGCTTCAATGTTTTCGTTTCGGTTTATTTTCTGAAAGTTTTTCAATTTTTCGGTTCTTCAATGTCCTGATTTTATAATTTTCTTTCAACGTGAAATTTTTCAATTTTTGGATTTTTCAACTTTAAAAAAATTTTTTTTTAATTTTAGATTTTTCAATTTATCGATTTTTCAACTTTTCGTTTCTTCAATTTTTGTATTGCATTTTTTCTAGTTTTCATTTTAAATATGTAATAATAAACAAAAATTCAATTTTTTCATTTATCCGATTTTTTAATTTTTCAATTTCTCCATATTTGATTTTTCAATTTTTCCATTTTTCAATATTACAGTTTTTCGATTTTACAATTTTAACGATTCCATAATTTTTCGATTTTAAAATTTTTGAGATGTCCAAATTTTCGATTCGGTTCGTTTTTTCTTTCCTATTTTTCGTTTCATTAAATTTTTTCGATTTTAAAGTTTCTTAATTTTTAATTTTTAGTGTTTCAACTTTTCGTAATTTCTTTTTTCTATTTTTCAATTTATCCCGATTTTTGAACTTTTTTAATAAAAAAAATGGAAAATTGTAAAATTGAAAATCTTAAAAATCGAAAAAGTGCAAAATCGAAATATTGGAAATTAAAGAAATCAAAAAATCGGATAATTGAAAAATTCAAAAATTTAAAAATTGGAAAACCGAGGAATTGAAAAATAAAAGATTAAAAATTTGAAAAATCGAATAAACGAAACATTATAAAACCGACAGAAACATCGAAAAAATAAAAGAAATGAAAAATTGTGATAAAATCGAGAAAATGAAAATTAAAAAAATTGGGAAAATGAAAAATACAAATCACGAACTTGAAAATTGAGGACACGAAAAATTGAAAAAGGGAAAAATTAATGAAAATGAGACAACGAAAAATTGTCGTCTAAAATAGAGAAAATGTAAAATAAAAATCAAGAACTTGAAAAATTGAGGAAACGAAAAATTGGAAAATCGAAAAATTAAAAATTGAGAAACTCAAAAATTACAAATCGAAAAACTGATGAAACGAACAATTGAAAACTGTGGAAGTCGAGAAACTGAAAAAATTAAAGTTGAAAAAACGAAAAATTATGAAAATGAAAAAATTGAAAAATTAAAGGAAATGAAAAAACGATAAACATATAATATCGAGAAAATGAAAACTAAAAAATCGGGAAAATAAAAACTAAAAATGTGGGAGTTGAAAAATTCAACAAACGAAAAATTAAAACATCCAAACATTAAAAATTGAGAAACTGAAAAATCTAAAAATGAAAAATCATAATATCGAAAAACGAAAAAATGTGAAACCGAAACATTGAAAAAGGAAAAAGTGACATAAAATCGAGAAAATGACAATTAAAAAAATCGGAAAAATGAAAAATAACTTCAAAAATGGAGGAAACGAAAAATTGAAAAATCGAAAAATTAAAAATTGAGAAGCTAAAAAATTACAAATCGAAAAAATGAAAAAACGAAAAATTGAAAACTGTGAAGTCCAGAAATTGAAAAAGTAAAAGTTGAAAAAACTAAAAATTTAATTATAAACCGAAAAATGAAAAATTGAGAAACTGAAACATTGAAAAATGGAAAAAATTGAAAAAATTAAAAGAAATGGAAAAATACATATAATATATAGGTATAGTTCTCCAATTTTTCGATTGGATTAGTTTTTTGTTTTTAATTTTTTGATCCTTAAAATTTGTTCGATTTTTAAGTTTCTCGATTTTTTGAATGCCTCAATTTTTCGTTTCTTCAGTTCTTTCATTTTCCACGTTTTTCGTTTTTTAATTTTTAATTCTTCGACTTTCTGAATAAAAAAAATGAAAAAATCGCAAATCGAACGAAAACTTCGAAAAAGCTAAAAATTGGAAATCAAGAACTTGAAAAATTGAAGAAAATAAAAATTAAAAATTGGGAAACTTCAACCAAAAAGTGCAAAATCGAAATATTTAAAATTACAGAAATAGGAAATTTTGATTATTGGAAATAAAAAATTGTAAAATATAAAAATTTAAAAATAGAGGAATTGAAAAATCAAAGACTGAAAATTTGAAAAATTGAATAAACGAAAAATCATAAAATCGAAACAATGAAAAAATAAAGGAAATGAAAAAACGACAAATTGAGATAAAAATGGAGAAAATGGAAATTACATAATCGGACAAAGGAAAAATAAAAAACAAGACCTTGAAAAATTGAGGAAACGAAAAACTGATTATCAAAAATTGTAACATCAAAAAATTGCAAAATTGAAAAACTACAAATCGAAAAATTGAAGACATGAAAAACTGAAAAATGTGGAAGTTGAGATATTGAAAGAATTAAAGTTAAAATAACGAAAAATTGTGAAATAAAAAAATCCAGATTTTTCGAAAATTATAAGATTTGATTTTGATTTATTTTTTATAATAACCCTTAAAATTAAAATAAAGATGTATATGTATGAATATATATCTAGGGTAGAAACTCAACACGGATTCATAAATCACAAGTACAGGAGTACCTTTTTTTTTTAATTTAAATAACATTTACTAATGAAAAATTTGGGACGACGTCATCCCATTGTGGGTGGGGATGGTTAGCCAAATTTTGTTAGGAAGTAATAAAATTGAATAAAATGGCTTCAATTTGTTCATAATCTACGTAAATTAACTGTAATTTTTATTTAAATAAAATATTATTGTTGTACGACAAACGACTAAACTCACTTGTAATCGATATCATCATGACAGGTCCAACCCATGTCTTTGTCAATTTCATCCATGCGACTTAATTCTTCTTCCTTGATGATCGGTCTCGGGGTGATTTCGTCCGGATCCACCAATCGCGGTGGCGGACGATTTTCGGGCCGATTTCGTCCGTTCATCGGAGGAGGAGTTTGAGTAGGAGCACCGGTTCCACCCGTAGCGAAGCTACCTTTGTACATCTGCAACAAAAAATTGTATTAAAAATAGCAAAAGTTCACACCAGAGGTCACTCAAGTCAAGTCATTTCCGGAACAAACAAAAATCGAACAATATACACCCGAAGAGCTCGCGCAGCGAGCGAGCCGTGCACGCTCGTCACAATACATACATATAGAGATTATATCAATGCGACACTTACAAAAGTTGGCATGACCGCACGAAATTGCGGCGGCAGCGGTTGCTGAGGCAGGCCGACCTGGGCCGCTAGCTGTGGTGGGGCACCCAAGGGGACCGAGCTGCTCCTTGGGGGACCTTCGGCGCCCGGCCGCGACCCACCCTGTATCCATGAGCCCTCCGTCTGCGGGCGCAGACTTAGCCCTGGCGTGTACTGAGCATCGGAACCAGTACGTGTGGGGCCGCCATCGCCAACGGACAAGCTGGGGAACTCGTGCTGGAACTGGGGACTCTGATACAGTGGCGGATGTGCGGAATCCGGACCGCTCATGACGGCGCTCCATGACTTGTCGGTGGTAGCAGGCGTAGCAGAAGGTGGTGCGTGTTTGTTCGGCGGTGGTATTGTTGTGGTCACCGGAAGGGCAATTGCAGCTTGATGAGAACTCAACTGGGGGGAAGGTTGACTGTTTGGAGTTGAAGCTGTTGTAGTTGTTGTCTGCGAATTTCAAGACATGGGTTTACGTTACTGCACGAGCTCGAATAGACCTTTTGAGGTTTTTATATAAGTAGTATGAAAAAACAAGGGACGGTTTAAAATCTCATCGAGGGTGGATTCGACGAACGAATCCTTACTGTGGGATCAGTGTAGGTGTGCGTGACGTCATTGCAAACTCGGCTGAATTTCCACGGGTTCATTAAAAAAATATGTATCTAAAAATAATTATGAAATTCCAAAAAAAGCGACAAAGATTCTACGTCACGCTTAAAACCCTTCAAACTGCAAATTTTCGTTTTCACAAATTCGAAATCTCTCCTTTTTTAACTTAATTCACTCAAACCTGAAACTTGAAGTATAAAAATTTTTCATATAAATGACGATTCTATCAACCCAACTTTCTTTTCTTAAATAATTAAGTTAGAAAACATTATACAATTTGATACAATCCGAATTTTATTTTTCTTATAAGTTATGAGTTAAAATGATGCTGAGTATGTTTTGAGTTTTTCAGAATAAAATTTTGTGTGACGTCAATTTTTTAGCAAGGACAAAAAAAAAGACAAAAAGCAACAAGAAAAACGACCAAATAATGCAACAAATAAACTGCACCAATAGAATTGCCAAAAAACAGTGGAAAAAAAAAATGTCAAAAAGAACACCAAAAAAATGGCAATAAAAAATTGGTCTAAAGAGTTTAGACAGTACTTCCCTCGCTGTCGGAAACTTGACGACTGCATGGTTATTGTGTTTTTTTCTCATTACATTTTTGTAGTGGGAATTTAAAAAAAATTGCGATGACGTCATCAACATTTTTGCAAGGACACGTATATCAGTTGGGATAGATGTAGTGTAATACTAAGAATAAAATTATTGTATTCCCAAATTTTCGGGAAAATGAATTGGGTCGTTTTGAATATTGATTTGTAATAATCAATAAAATAACGAAACAATTTACTCACGTATACGTATCAGAGGCAACTGAAAATCGTGTATGTATAAACATTCTTAATTTAAGACGACAGGCGTAACAGCATACGTGAGAGTCAAACAGAGAAACTGTAAACAAAACGACCATCGGTTTTCTTGCTTCGACTTCCGCTTATTATATAAAACATTGGGTTTTATTTTAATTCTTGACGGTGAAATTCACAATTGGTTGATTATAAACATGTCTATTTCACATTCGCGGAACCAAGTGATCGCATAAAACAAATGCAGGTCTGTAATGTTAAAGTCGATGTAAATAAGCGATGCTACCCTTATGTTTCAACCGAGTTTTTCCTTTAACAAATTTTGTGTCTACCAAATTGGGTTGGTTGGGGTGTAATACTGATAATAAGTGTTGCCTTTAATTTAATCAATAAAATAAATTGACTTCATTAATTTTTTTGAGCCACCTCTTAAGAAAATCTAAAAAATATGAATGGAATGATAAATCACAAGTACAAACTCATCATATTTTTTGCATCTTCGATAGGATTTATTCAGCAAAATTTAAGGGTGACGTCATCAATTTTTTTTAGGAGGGATGAACAAATACATTTTGAACAAAAGTTTACCATGCTTATAATAACTTTAAAATATTCCCAAGATTTCAAACATTCGGTTTTGTAATTCCTGATTAAATCGATAAAATAAATTCACGCCTTCATTAATTTTTTTGAGTCACCCTGCATATGCAAATCCAAAAATATGAATGGAATGATAAATCACAAGTACAGACTCATCATATTTTGTACATTTTAGATACGATTTATTCGGCAAACTTTTGAGCTGACGTCATCAGTTTTTTGTAGAAGATAACCAAATATATTTTGACTAAAAATTTATTATGCTCTTTATAACCTTAAAACATCTGCAAGATTTCAAAGCATTCAGTTTTGTAGTTCCTGATTAAATCAATAAAATAAATTTACGCATTCATTAATTTTTTTGAGTCACCCTGTATATGCAAATCGAAAAAATTTGAATGAAATGATAAATCACAAGAAGAGACTCACCATATTTTGTACATTTTAGATAGGATTTATTCAGCAAAATTTTGTGGTGACGTCATAAATTTTTTAGGGGGGACGACCAAATACGTTTTGATCAAAAATTTACCATGCTTATGATAATTTTAAAATATCTTCAAGATTTCGAAGCATTCGGTTTTGTAGTTCCTGAGTAAATCAGTAAAATAAATTTACGCATTCATTTATTTTCTTGAATCACCCTGTATATGCAAATCCAAAAAATATGAATGGAGTGATAGATCACAAGTACAGACTGATCATATTTTGTACATTTTAGATATGATTTATTCGGCAAATTTTCGAGCTGACGTCATCAAGTTTTTGGAGAGGATAAGCAAATATATTTTGACTAAACATTTATTATGCTCTTTATAACCTTAAAACATGTGCAAGATGTCAGAGCATTCCGTTTTGTAGTTCCTGATTAAATCAATAAAATATATTTACGCATTCATTAATTTTTCTGAGTCACTCTTTATATGCAAATCCAAAAAATATGAATGGAGTGATAAATGACAAGTACAGACTCATCATATTTTGTACATTTTAGATATGATTTATTCGGCAAACTTTCGAGCTGACGTCATCAAGTTTTTGGAGGGGATAAGCAAATATATTTTGACTAAACATTTATTATGCTCTTTATGACCTTAAAACATCTGCAAGATTTCAGAACATTCGGTTTTGTAGTTCCTGATTAAATCAATAAAATATATTTACGCATTCATTAATTTTTTTGAGTCACCCTGTATATGCAAATCCAAAAAATATGAATGGAGTGATAGATCACAAGTACAGATTCATCATATTTTGTACATTTTAGATATGATTTATTCCACAAACTTTTGAGCTGACGTCATCAAGTTTTTGGAGGGGATAAGCAAATATTTTTTGACCAAAGATTTATGATGCTCTTTATAGCCTTAAAACATCTGCAACATTTCAAAGCATTCTGGTTAGCAGATTAAAAATTAAATTTCAAAATGTTGTTTTATAATTTTGATTTTTTTTCCAAAAATCTGGACGTTTCGGGTGAAATGTCGATTCAGAGTTGTAAACTACATGTGTAGGACTATGTTATTTTATACAATTGAAAACCCATTTACTATGTACAATTTTGAAGTGACGTCATCGCTTTAGTGGTGGGGATGATTCGACAAATTTTGGTTAGCGTTTTACCATCTACATGATATTCTTAATATAAGTACAAAATTTCACAACAATCGGTCGAGTACTTTCGGAGATTATCTGTCTAATAAAAATCCGGGACGGCAGACGGACAGACGGACGGACAGACGGACGGACGGACGGACAGACGGACAGACGGACAGAAATGGGACAAACGTCGAAGATAAAAAATTAAGGGTGCACTAATAAACCACACAGAAGTATGTGATTTTATTTAAATTTAAGTAGGATTTATTTTACGAAAAAAAGATTAAAAAAAAAAGTAATAAAAATATGGTCACAAAAAACGTCAGAAGTCTGTAAAACCTCGCTAGAAAAAATGGCCACAAAAATTGGCAGTGCCAAAACAAAACAAAAAAAAAATAATAAAACAGAAGACAAAAAACCACAAAAAACGGCAAAAAAACACCACAAAAATTTGAAAAAAAAAAGAAAAATCGACCGCACAGAGGACGGTAAAAAATGGGGTCAAAAAAAGGATAATAATAAAAGAAAGAAAAAAATGCAAGAAAAAAAAATGCGACCGAAAAAAAGGCGATAAACGGTGACTGGAAAAAGGAACAAAAAAAGCCACCAAAAAAAAAGGCGAGGAAAACAGCCACAAAAAAATGTCGAAGGTTATTTCAACAGAACTTCCCTCGCCTCTGAAGTGCCCTCAAATAAATCCCACTTTTTCGAAAAGTTATATTTTTTTTGCAATTTTTGTTTTCTGATACCACAACTTTTTTGACTTGAATTTTTCAGTTCTTCAATCTCCCAATTTTTTGTTCCTTGATTTTGTCGATTTCAAATTTTTCCTAATTTTCAACTTTTGAATTTTTCAATTTATAGATTTTGCAACTTTTCGAATTGAATTTCTCGGGTTACCAATTTGTAATTTTTCGTTTCAGTTTTTTATTTTCTTTATTTTTACAATTTTTCAATGTTCCGATTTTATAATTTGTTGTTTTTTCAATTTCACTTTTTTTCAATTTTCCATTTGCAATTCTTCAATTTTTTGTTTTTCTTTTCTACGATTTTTCGATGTCTCTTCGAGTTTTCAGTTTTAATAAATTTTCCAGTTTTCCGATTTTCCAACTTTCGGACGTTTCAATTTTTAGATTTGACATTTCACGAGTTTTGAATGTTTAATTTTTAATTTTTCAGATTTTCATTTCTTCAGTTTTTCGAGAAAAACGAGAAAGTAGAATTTATCTAAGTAGCTTATGTACATTAAAAAAAAAACAAGATTACGTAAAACTTTATATATTTAAAATAATAATAATATGTAATAACTTAGCTTGCACTCTGGAAGTACAAAAGGACCAAAAAGCGGAAAAACGGAGGTGAAAAAGGGGGACCAGAAGGGCACCCAAAAAAAGGCGGTAAAAGAGGAGACAAAAATTCGAATCGATTAGTTTTGTTTCCAATTTTTTGATTCTTAAATTTCTTCAGTTCTTTGATTTTCCACATTTTTAATTTTGCTATCTTTGTTTCTTTATATTTTTGAATTTTTTCCCATTTTTGGTTTTTCTTTTTTAGTTTTTCAATTGTTCAACTTTCTGAATAAAAAAATGGAAGAACCGCAAAATCACAAAATTGTAAATTTTAAAAATCAAAAATGAAAAACGTACACGTCCAGAATGAAAACTTTGAAAAATCTAAAAATTGGAAATCAAGATCTTGAAAAATTGAATAAAAGAAAAATAAAAAACTGAGAAAGTAAAAAATCCAAAAAGTGTAAAATCGAAATATTTAAATTCACAGAAATAGGAAAATCGAGGAACTGAAAAATCAAAGATTGAAAATTTGAAT